TGCTTGCCTAAACCAAGATTGTGTTATTTAAGAGATAAATGTAAAATAATATGTGATTAAGGGAGGGTGTTGAGAATAATCACACGTACACCCCGTTCTTGTTTTAATGTCATGTATTTTAACTGTAACTGTTTTATACTTTTGCTTAGGTTGCTCTGGCAACAGTTGTAGTAGTTCTTGGTCATGGTCTGTGATATGTAGAAACGTGCTGTGCCATATGCATGAAATTCCATCTTTTAATAAAGTCTCTACTTAATTATGATCGGCCTCTGATTCACTTTTTTTAAATCTTTACAGTATGTGAGTCAATTTGAACCAGTTAAAGCTTCAACATACATTGCAAATCATAGTGCAGAATTATGGCACAGGCTCATGGGGCACTCATCTGATAAAAAATGGAAAAAAAAATTAAAAGAAATGGGTTTGCCAGTATCTGAGTCACCATCAAGCTTTTGTGAAGAGTGCATATTAGCAAAACATTCCAACACTCCTTATGAACAAAAGGTCCCTAGAAGCCAGAGAGCATGTGCCGATGAGAATGGTACACACTGACATATGTGGTCCCATTGATCCACCCACTAGGGAAGGTGAAAAGTATTTTGCTACAATCATAGACGATTTTTCTAGATTTACTGAAGTGCATCTCTTAAAGCACAAGAGTGACATAAATGAAGTGTTTAAATTGTTCCTAAAGCAGAATCCTTGATGTCTACAAAATCCTGTGTGATAATGCCAAGGAATACGTATCTGGTGAACTAGCTCGTTATTGCAAGAAAAATGGTGTTTATGATAGATCCTGCTCCTCCATATTTCACCTCCTTTAAATGGTGTGGCTGAGAGAGCCAACAGATAACTTTTAGAGAAGGCCCGAGCTCTAATATGTGAAAGCAAAGCTTTCTAAATCCTTCTGGGGGGGGGCTATGCTGTACAGACAGCTACATATCTGAAGAATAGGATTTCATTCTTAAGAATAGAATTCCAAATCAGACTGTCGAAAATGTACCTTATAAGCTCAAATATGGGAAGCCGTCTGATTTGAATATTATTAAGGTGTTTGGATATGATGCATACATGAGAGTTCCTGATAACTTAAGAAAGAAATTGGATCCAAAATAAAAAAGATGACTTTTATTGGATACTCTAGCATGGGTTATCGTTTACTGGACCCAGTCACAAATCATGTTGTGTTTCTCGAAATGTATTGTTCAATGAAGAGAAAAAGAAATGTATCTCAGTTCAAGATGATTTTTCCATAGAAAGTAAAGATCCTGCTAAAGATGAATTAGTATATGATTCAAATGATGTAGAATATAGAAATCTTGAAGAAAGTCATGAAGAAATTACTAGGCAAAGAAGAAATATAAAATTACCTGTAAAGTTGAATGATTACTTTGTGTATGAAGCTAATGTGGCAACTCTTGATACAGTAACATATGAGGATATAACATTGTTGCCAAAAGAAGAGCAAGTCCTATGGAGGAAAGCCATGGATGAGGAAATAGCTTCTCTTAATAAAAATAAAGTGTGGGAGTTAGTCAACTTGCCAAAGGATGAAAAGCCAATATCCTGTAAATGGGTGTTGCGCATCAAAACGAAACAATGTTTTTACAAAGCTAGATTGGTTGCTCGTGGCTTTGAACAGAAGCCAGGCATTGATTACTTTGAGACCTATGCTCCTGTAAATTAGTACATCATCACTTCGACTTGTGCTGGCTATCATTGTTCACAAAGAATCTTGAAATCTATGCATTAGATGTAAAGACTGCATTTCTGAATGGTGATCTATCCAAGAAACAATCTACATGGAACAACCAATGGGCTACAGTGACAACAGTGGTCATGTGTGTGCAAGCTTCTTAAGAGTCTTTATAAGGACTTAAGCAAGCACTAAGGCAGTGGTTTCAAGAGATTTACTGATTTTATAATTCAAGTTAAACTTTCAACAAGTCTGTAATCTTTCAACAAGTCTTCAACACTAATCTGTGAAGCATGTACTTTTGTGAGAAGAACTAAACAGAGTGAAATATTTATTGTGCTGTATGTGGATGACTTGCTAATTGCTGGTTCTAGTGATTCAGAGGTAAAAATTGTGATTGAACTACTTAGAAATGAATTTGAGATGTCCAAGGCTGAAGTTGCAAATGAATTTCTTGGAATAAGTTTTGAATATTCACAGAACAAACTTACTTTAGGCCAAAATTCTTATGTTGAAAAATTGTTAAATAGATTTAGAATGTTAGATTGTAAGCCATCTGATACTCCTCTAGTGCCTAAGTCAACTTCATCAAATTTTGTGAATGGTGAAAGATTTCATGGCCCTTATCGTGAACTTGTAGGTGCTTTGCTGTACCTATCTATGACAACTCGTCCTGATATTCTGCTTTCTGTGAACTGTCTGAGTCAGACAAGAACAACCCACTAACAGTGCTTGGGCTGGTCTGAAGCAAATTCTTTGATATTTAAAAGGGACATCTGAACTGAAATTATTATTTTGTAAATCTAATAGTGTTGATATTATGATAAATGTTTATGTTGATGATGATTGGGGTCAGATACAAATGATAGAAAATCTATTTCAGGATACATTATTTTCTTTAATGATTGTCCTGTAACTTGGTCTGTTAAAAAAACAAACATCTATTGCTCTGTCCTCTGCTGAGGCAGAAATTTTGGCTTTAGCAAAAGCTATTCAAGACCTAATTGTATTTTATAATGTATCTAAAGACATTTTAGGAGTAGACAATATTAAAGTTTCAGTTTATGAGGATAATCAGTCTGTAATTAAAGCAATATTGAATGAAAGTAATTGTGCTAGACCAAAATTTGGACATTAAACTAAAGTATATTAGGGATATTGTAAAATTGTATGATATAAATCTTGTATATGTTTCTAGTGAAAATCAGTTAGCTGATTTGTTTAGAAAATGCTTGCCTAAACCAAGATTATGTTATTTAAGATAAATGTAAAATAATATGTGATTAAGGGAGGGTGTTGAGAATAATCACACGTACTCCCCGTTCTTGTTTTAATGTCATGTATTTTAACCGTAACTATTTTATAGTTTTGCTTAGGTTGATGTGGCAACAGTTGTAGTAGTTCTTGGTCATGGTTTGATATGTAGAAACGTGCTGTTCCATGTGCGTGAAATTCCATCATTTAATAAAGCCTCTACTTAATTATCATCGGCCTCTGATTCACCTTTTTTTAAATCTTTACAGGCAACAAGTTAAGTTAAAAAAAAGTCGTTACTTGGAGTGTTCCATCATAAGGGTTGTGTAAGCCTTATTTCTTAAAAGTTTGTTATATTTTTATGCCAAAAAAATAAGTAATATGTTGCAAACAGGAATGGAAATTGTAAAAATAAATATGCTGTTTCTTTTAAGACCAAAATAAGCATCTATTTAAATTATGAAATCCTCTGGCTAATCAGATTCGATTTTGTTTTTCCATCAATACCCACGGTTCTCTCTGCTCCATAGTTACTTAGAGACAAAAAATTTCCATATTACAAATAATGAAACAATATTAAAAATGTTGACTTAAATCAACTGAGCTGACTAGTTTTTAAGCTCTTGTTCAGTATTACCTTTCTCCATTAATTTACACTCATGTCCATAAATTAAGGATAATGCAAAATCAGGCAAAGGAAGAGTTCGAAGCAAAATAAATTTGACTTATTTGTAAAGCTTATTTATTAAACAAAAGGTAAAGAACAAAAAAAGATGATATATGTTTGATATTATTAAAAAATTTAGCGATTTTTTCTCCCTGGATCAAATTACAAAAAACACCTATTTACAAAAAACCAATATTACATGGTTGGTATGATTGTTAATACATTGTATGTCTCCCAGACGATGCAATACAGTCCGTGCAACGCCTAGGCATGCTGAATATCAAATTATCGATATGATCTTAAGGGATATTACACCACTCAAAACGCAATGCTTTCCGAAGTTCCGGTAGACATGTAGGAGGAGGTTGATGGGCTGCAAATCGTCGGCCAAGCATGTCCCACACGTGCTCTACTAAATTGAAGTCCGGTAAGAATGCTGGCCAGTCCATACGGGTTATATCCTCTGACTGAAGGCATTCACTTACGATGTTTGCACGGTGAGGACGAGCGTTGTCATCCATAAACCCAAATTGTGTGCCCATGGCGCCCCGAAACAAACGTACATGTTGTTCCAGAATGACGTCCCGATAGATTTGGTTTGTTATGGTTCCAATTTGAACATGCAGGTCAGTTCTGGAACCCAGAATAATTCCACCCCAAATGAGCACTCCTGCACCACCGTAACGGTATTGTTCAATGATGTTTTCTTGGTGATAAAGGGTACCTGGAGCTCTCCATATGAAAGTCCAGCAAGAATCAGACTGCAAGCTAAACCTGGACTCGTCGGAAAACATCACACAAGCCCACTGTTGCGGTGTCCACAATGCATGAGCTCTACTCCAGGCCAACTGCAGGCGACAGTGAGTTGCAGTAAGTGGAACGCACCTGTGACAGGTCTACGAGCATATAGACCAATCTGCCCTAAGCGTCTGTACACGGTCTGCCTTGAAATTGTCGTACCAGTGGCTGAAGAGAGCTGACGAGACAGGTCTGAGGCTGTGCTCCGCCTGTTTCTTTGGCAGTAACTGCCAAATACCGGTCCTCATTCGGCGTTATAACTCTGGGCGACCTGTGCTGTAACGTCTACTCAAATTACCATCATCTTGGAATCGTTGCCAAAGCCTGGAGATGACACTCTGGGCAATTCTAAGTTCGTCTGATACTTCCAGTTGGGTACGTCCACATTCCAGACGGCCGATAATTTTACCACGTAAAAAATCATCCAAATGCGTCCTTTGTGTCATAACTATTTGGTTATTGCACTGAAATGCTTATAAAGCGCCTGCAAACAATTTTACTTCTTTGCCTGTATTCTTTATCTATCACTCTCTTACACTCTCGTCACTGTGACGTACCATCGGTGTCATCTGGTTACTTCCTGAAATTAGCATATGATTCTTGAAGATGCGTGTAGTGATTTTACAGGTGATATATTTATTTTAGAGTTCGATTTCCGTGTTACTCCGAATTATCCTTAATTTATGGACATGAGTGTAGTTAAGATTTCAGTTAAAGAAATCTTAACTAAAGAAGTAGAATTCAGTTAAATGGGACTTTACTGTATAGCATCGTATGAAATAAATTTAACGACAAAATGGTAAAAATGAACAGGCATTCTTATAAGTAACTTTAAATGCACAACTATAAGCATGTAATTAGTATAATTAAATGTTTCAAAATTTATGTAAAAGCTACAAACCTTAAAAACTGATGTTTCGGTACCTTTGACAGTCAACTTATGCTTGTATAAATTCACATCGATTCCAGCAACACCGCTAGTTTCTACTAAATTCTCGAGATTACTTCCATACTTCTTAAATAGTCCTTTTATTACTCCAGCTTTTCCATGTTTAGGCAATAAAGAAATTTCTCTTACACTTTCTTCTGCTATTGCATTCAAAAAAGAATTAACTTCCAATTTGACAGAATTACAAACCGATGCACTTCCAAAAATTGATATAACTTTCCTATACTTATCAGCATCCACAAAACAGTTTGGTTTATCTTTACAAATTTTTCTGATGTAAACCAGACTGTCTTCTAAAAAGAGTCTCTCTAAAACAGGATTACCATCACATTTAATCTGATCACCATACAAAATATTTTGAATTGCCCTTCTGGCATCAGTGGCATCAGAAACATTGTTACTAGCTATCTGAATTCTAACAGTGCTTGAGTCCTTAGGCACAGCTGTTATATCTAATGTTTTATCACTGTCTGAGGTATCTTTGAAAAACTTCAAGGCTTCATCAATTTGTTCTTTAACTGCTGAAAAAATTTCTGTTTTACAAAACAGTGTTGTCTGAAGATATGGCTTCATATCAAAGCCTGGATATAAATGACACCTGTTTTTAAGCATATTTACTGCATTTTCACCATCATAGGCATTTTCAAAGAATATTAATGCATTCCAAGTAAAATCTTTTGGAGATGGTTTTTTAAGATCAATATGCAGTTTATCTTTTGGAGTAAATTCACCAAACATAGATATTAAGCCTTGCTTAACAATTTCTAATTCATCTCGAGAGCTTTCATACACCTTTTTCCTCACAATAATACATTTGGTTAATTTAATATCATCAGGCATTAGTGATTTCACTAATGTTTCAAATTCCTCTCTCTTGGTATCACATGGAAGACCAGAAAATCTCAAATCTTGCGACTTCTTACTGATAGAACATTTTATAGGCATATTTCGATATGTGATACTCCTGTTACATACACTATTTGATATTAGAGGTAAAAGAGCAGCACATTCAAAACTGGCAAATGCTTCACCAGTACAAGGTCGTCGCATATAAGATACTACTACCCTATACATACACTGTCTATTATCTGGCACAGTAGTTTTAATTATACTTTGTAAGGAAAATGACTGTTCATTTTGGAACATATTTAAAGCTTGTTTGGCATGAACAGGGCTTTGAAATGTTATTTTAAAGTAATTTTTCCATTCCCGAACTGTGGATATTGTACCACAGATCTGAAGTTTTTCAACTACAGTTTGGATATTGTCATTATTATTAATAATAAGTTTAAGATCTCTGAATTCACCAGGTATCACAACATCTTTAATCTCAGCCCCAGTTGATACTATGCCAGTTAATTCAGAGTTCTCTAAAAGACAGAATTCTTTTTCTTCAATTGCCAATGTTTCTTTAGCTTTTTCAATAATGGGACAAATTACTGATTCGACTACTTCAAACTTTGGTTCTGGAGCAAATATTTTAACTTCCCCTTTAGGGATATTAACGTCTAATATAACAGAATCACTTCCAACTAGCATTTTTAATTTGTTTTCAAGAAATTTACGATGAACACCATTTTTTCCAACTATTTCACGCAACAAAACAGTTTTACCAATAGGTGATATGCAGAAATTTCTTAACTGCAATGATTCTAGGGCTTCTAAATTTATTTTTAAAGCACGTGATTTTATAGCTTCCAGAATCATGTCTTTTGTAATTGGGCTTATATTTATAAGATATGTCGTATTTGTTTTCAGAACAGTGTCATACACAAGAAATTGAGGCCTCCAATTCCCAAAGGTGCTTAATGATGAGGATGGATGAATCATAAGCTCCCCTGGAATTTTGGCTGATCTATAACCATACCTTACATGGCCTGAAAAAACGCAAATATTTTCAGAAAAACTATAAAATATGATTTTTAATAATTCCTCATTATGTAAATCATCATTAAATTTTGCAGGTATTTTCAAATTTATTTCCTTCGTCAGAATTAAAATCAGTTCATTGACTAAATTATGTGCAGTTCTCATAGATTGTGCATTTATGCAATTCAACACACACCACTTGGATTTTGATATTTTTGGAACACTAAACCATTCTTTATAGACATCTAAATATGTCAGAAAATCACTTTCATTTTGGCAAAATCTCATTTTCTTCTTATCAGCCTCATTCTTGTTTTCACTATTACGAAAGAAAATACTTCGAGAAACAGTAATTAGTGACGCTAAGGACACTGCTTCAAATCCAATATTACTATCTATGCCTTTTAATATCAGAAAACTTAGTCGAGGTTCTAGAGGCAAATAGGACATCTGTCTTCCCAATGCAGTCAACGACAAATCAGTTTCATTCACAGCTTCTAAATGCATGAGTTGTTCCATTGCTAATTTTAATGATTCTTCTGATGGTGACTGAACAAAGTCGAATTGCACAGGATTTTTCACTCCCATTTGCATTAACTTTAATAATGCCTGACCCAAATTAACACGTAAAATCTCGGGAACATTTCCTTCAACCATATTATCGTAATTTTTCTTACTGTACAACCGGAAACATTTTCCAACCTGTGTTCTTCCTGCACGTCCTCTACGCTGCTCAGCTGAACTTCGACTGACAAAGCCAACACACAGAATGCTCATATTCCTTACAGAATCATACTGGGATTCCTTTACCATACCACAATCAACAACATATCTAATTCCAGGTATTGTTACAGAAGTCTCTGCACAATTTGTTGAGAAAACTACTTTCCTCATACCAACAGGAATACGCTCAAATATCTTTTGCTGTTCCTGAACATCTAATTTACCATGAAGCTGTAAAATTTTTATTTTGCTGTAATAATTTTCATCTTTTACTTTTTTGGTCAAAGCTTCTACAGCTTTCTCAGTTTCAGCAGGTGTTGTTAAAAATGCCAAAATATCTCCAGATTCTTTTTCTGTATTTAGAATATCATGTACAGTATCAACAGTTTTTTGAAAGAAATCCCAACCAAGTGAAACATCTTCATTAAACCACATATCTTCAACAGGGTATATTCGGCCAGACACATGCAGTACAGCATCATCAGTTATGTTAAAATAATCACGAAAAATAGACGTATCAATAGTAGCTGATGTAATTACAAGTTTTAAACTTGGTTTTGCTTTAAGATAACTTTTAAGCATTCCTAATAAAAGATCTGTATAAACTGTTCTTTCATGGGCTTCATCAACAATAATACAGGAAGCATTTTCTATGTCATTATTAATTACCATTTTCAACATTGTGAAATCTGTGACATATAAAATAGCTGTTTTAATAGATTTTTTAGTTGACATACCTACTTCATATCCCACAATATCACCCAGACTACAACCAACTTGAGAACTCACATATTTAGCAAGAGATATAGCAGCAATTTTTCGTGGCTGGGTGCATATTATAACTCCATTTTTAGACAGGATTTGCTCTCGCCATACATATTGGGTTAACTGAGTACTTTTTCCTGAGCCAGTTTCAGCACGAATTATAGTTACTTGATGCTTCTTTATTTTCTTGAGAATAATGTTTTTCTTTGCATAAATTGGTAGAGCAGAAGAAATACAATTACATTCTCGAGAATATTCTCGTAAAATATCATCCAAGCAATGATCAAGGTTCTCAGAACAAATATCAGCTTTACTTAATTTATTTATTATTTCTGATGTGAAATTCAGAAAAGTTACCTTTTGTTCATTCATCTCATTTAGTTTTTCTGACAGCACTTCTTTTGCTCCTGGTACCTGAAGAATGGGTGATTTCTTCAATTTAGACACTTCTTCTTGATGCTTGCTCAAAAAATAATTTTTTTTCTTCTCAACCATGGAAATGTAATCGTTTATTTTCTTTTTGTTCAAATCCTGCATATTATCTAATACATTTACACAAAAATTATTAAATCCTAATTCATCATGTTTCACCAACTTCAGAAATTTAGGAGCCATAGGATCTTTCATTTGTTTCTTTACCAGTATCTTCTTAGCTTTTTGAGCTTTGCTTAAACTTTTGAAATTAACCAAGAAACAACCCTCTACACTGTTTCCATCCCAATTCAATGTCATATCACTAATATTCCACAGTTTTCCCAACTCATTTTTCCAATACTCAATATCGCCAATTCTTTCACTCACATAAACATATAATGTACCTCCTTTGCTATTATTATCATCAACTGAAGAATTTAACTTCTCTGAACTCTTTTCTTTGCTAACGAGAAGCTTACTTTTATGACCATTTTTATAAACTGTGCCTAATTTATTACCCTCTAAAATACCTTCTGAACATGTAATTTGAAGTTTACAGTCACCTAAAGTACAAGACGAAAGACGTGACATAGCTTTTTCTCTAGCACACAGATCAGGAAAACAAATAATTGCTAATGATCCATTTAACATTTTTACTCTGCCCTTTATACCTGTAATTTTTTCTGTTAAATAATTTTTTATAAACTTCTTGTTCATCTGTTTGGGCAGATTTGAGACATTAATAAAAAACTGAGTATCTTCTTCTCTGGATCGCTCAGCTACATCTTTAATAAAATCCTCAAAAAAGACAACTCTGTCTGCTGCAGATATTAAAGAAGGTTTTGCGTTTTTCTTGCAAATTAAATTAACATAAATATGGTGCTTGTAACGCATATCACTTAAATAAGAAGCGAAATCTGAATCACCTGAAATTAACACAACTGCTGCGTCACTTCTTCGATGTGTATTTTGAAAGTCCATAAGAATTATCATAAGTTTCTGATCAGCAGCATTTTACAGCGGGAACTCTTATGAATAATAGTCACAGAAGCTTCGTCCAAGTCTTTTACAAGAGAATCACTTAAATTTGACACATCACAGGCAATAATAAATTGAGTTTCAGTTCGTCCTTCATAAAATTTATTTCTCACTTGATTAACAAAATCAACTGCTGACTTTGTAGATGGCAAGGAACAGTTTTCAATATCCCAACAAACAATGACAAATTTTTCAGTCTGGGATGCATTTAATGGCATTAAATCATACTTGCATGACCCTATTTCACTGTCTTTCACACTTGACACAATAGAAAATTCACTCTCATCAGATGATGTTCCATCTGTTTCTACATCTGAAACATTACTTCCATCAGATGACCTATGAGAAATGGAAGCATTATCATCATCATCATCTGATTCTTTAGATTTTACTGATGTCCAATCCAGAGAAGTATTTTCTGACATACGCTGAAATGAAAGTAAAGGAGTGACACTTACATTTGATTTTTTCGTATCTTCCCAAAAATTTACTTTTTTCGCTCTTTTCTTCTTTTTATGAGTTTGTTTTGCTTTATTTTCAGGCTTGACAGCATTACTGTTTTTAAGTTTAAAAACCGGATTTTTCAAAGGAAACTGTTTGCTTGAAGTCACAGTGTTTGGAACATTGGTAAATTTATTTAGATTAGTTGACATTCTGAGCTGATTAATAGGCTTCTCAGCTTGTGCTGATGACAAATTCTGACTACTGGAATGGCTAGATTTAGTATTTCCTTTGGTGTATGGCAAAGTGTTCTTTATATTCGACATACTTATAGGTGAGGACATATTTCTAGCAAACGGTGGCTTGAAATTTTGATGTGAAGAAATACTTTGAGACATGAGATGAGAATTTTTCTGAGGATTTGTGGATTTGGATGAATCATACTCATAATTACCATGAAATACACGAACTTGGGCTGGCGTTGAGTCATGTGTGCCATGGGATTTTGAATAATTACCTGAATGAGATGGATATGTTGTCTTCTGTTTCTCATTCACATTGCTTTTTAAAGGGGAAATACTTTTAGCTAAACTCTGAGGTTTCTGGTTATAAGCACCAGGAAAATGAAGCAGATGGAAAATGCTGGCTATTTTGATTCGAGCTTTGAAAACCTGTAGAAAAAGAGAGCAAAGAATGATCACAGTCTTGATCTAATTTCACACCTGTTTCAAATAATAAACCTGGAGAACTTCGGTAACGCATTTCTTTGTTATACATTTCTTTCTGATTTACAGAATTATTTTGTTTTTTCCCACCATATTTACCATGATAAGATAGATTACTTTCAGGTTTCCCAGGGTGTGTAAAATTTTCACATCTAAATTCTCCTGAAACTGTTGGTTGTGGCTGTTTTTTCTTCTGAGGCTGGTTGTTTTTACCCTGAACATCTCCTGACTGCAGATGCTTTTTCCTCTGAGGCTGATCTTTCTTATCTTGAGTACTGCCATTTGGCTTTCTTGGCTTTGCATAAAATTTCTTACCAGAGTCTCCAAAATTCATATCTGGAATGAAAATTTAAAATGTTTAGAACATAATTCAAATACTACGCTCATCAAAATTATAAACATGTATAACATAAATGACAATTTATTAGCATTGCATTTAAATGTTAAGACAGAAATTTTTAAAATATACACTTATAGGCATAAACACACACACTAAAAAAAATCAGTTTAGAAAACATTACTGAACACAAAATTTAACTAAAGAAATAATTCGTAAAACTAGCAGATGAAAAATATTTGCAATACATATCAAGCTCAATGTTTGTGTAATAGATTAATAGAATGTCCAAGTTAAAAAATTTTGACAATGTACTACTACATGTTTAAAATGAAACTGATACGAATAGTAAAATATTAATAATAAGTTAGAAAGTATGGTGAAAATGGCATCACATCTGCTTGCTGCCAACTAGAAAAGTTGACAAGATTTCTTCATAAAATTCCTTAATTTTAATCCATATGAAGTATATGTGATTTTTAAAAAAATTCTAAAATCATATTATACAAGAAAACATTAGCCATAATCATTGGTTGTGGACACTTGGTCGACAGGACACTTAACCCACAAAACATTTAGCCAACAGGGACACTTATTAGACAGGACATTTAGCCAGCAGGGACATTTAGCCGAAAGGACATTTAACTGACACAAAAAGTTAGCCGTCAGGACATTTAGCTACGGGATACAGTCAAAAGTTGTTAATACGGACTTGTCAGCGATTCCGGATTATCGATTTTTCCAGTTTATAAATCATCAGTTTAAATCTGGTAAGATGGCATGCAGAAATTATAAAATTAAAAATATGAAACCGTAATTTATGAAATAAAGAATAATTATGATCTAAAGGGTATCAAAATTAAAAAAAAAAAAAAAAAGCTTAATATTTATTTGTTTACTTTATTAACATTTCTTTCAATGTAAGTTGTTTAAGTTGCTTCGTTTCATGTGATAATACTTTCTCTTTAATTCTATAAAAACAGACATATTTCTTGTTTAGTTACAAAGTTCCGCTGTTCAAGTCCTATAATTGCTGTGTCAAGAATACCGACTAATTTGTCAATCGAAATTTTTCGTTTTCAATAACCTCTGTGTCACTTTCTTCACTATCGGAAGCGAATTATAATGACGAGGAATTTGATTTAAATCATATCAAAGACGGAGTACATCGAGATGAAATACTACATTTAGTAAGGAATTATAAGCCAAATAAAATAAAAACATCTGCCCTGAAGATAAGGATAGTGCTGACAGATCAACTTCCAATTCATTGCGCGCCGCGACGTTCCCCCCCCCCCCACACACATGCAGAGCAGCGTGAAATTGATAAACATTTCAGAATGGTTAGATAAACAAAGGATATGCCTTTATCCATTTTTTGCAGCAATTCCACTTTTTGTTTAATGGACTTCGAAACATACTTTCGCTTTGTAGATCCTTTACATATTAGTAAATATATATCAGAAATTCAATTTGACACAATCGAAAGTTCAAGCTTACTTTTATAAAATTGCTCTAACAGTCTGCAAAAAATAATAAGCCGAATCCAATTCAAAGATTAAGGAACAATGCAATCTGCAACATTAACTGAATTAGATAATTTTAGCTTAGCTTATACCGTCCGTTATACATTAAACGTGCATTTGTAGACGTATTTTGCACATGCGCAAACGCATATTCGCAGCCATAAAGGTGTTACGCGCTGACGCATGCGCAGGAAGTTTGTAGCTTTGAGGTCCGGATTATAGATCATTCCGGATAATGGGTGTCCGAATTAACGACTTTTGACTGTACTTAACTGTCAAGACATTTAGTCAACAGGACACTAAGCCGACAGTGACGTTTAGCTGACACGTATCCAATAATTATTCAAATTTACTATCAATTACAAAATTTCTCGACTTTTTCATAAATTCAATATTTAAGTTATTTTTTCACTATCAGTAAAATTCATTTTTCGATTCTTAAAGATCTCATTACAGGATTCTTACCTGTAATTCTCCCAACAAACGTTCACTATTGATAAAACACAATTTCATTTCGTGTTTCTTAGAGCATTATTTTCTATCAAGAATAACAGATTTTCTTTGAAAAAATTCTATTACAGACTTTTTGTCCCTGGAAAATTCCCAAACTGTTAAATCCAAAGATTATTTTAAAAAATAATTAATTAAACCACTATGCCAATGGGACTTTAAAAATTTTGAACAAAAAAGATTGCCTGTTCTAAATTTATGTGCAGGGAGCACTTTTGCTAGACTTGGTGCTTTTATGCATATATTTTGGTTCTGATTTCATATGGTCCCCTAAATGGAATAGTATTGTATTACTATCTCTATGTGCTCCAAGTCATTGTTATTCAAAAGCTTATTAGAAATTAAAGCGTTGTTATAATGAAATTTCTTTACCTCAAAATTATCCTCTTTTTTAGTGTGGTTTGTATTATGGCAGTCTGCGAAGCTAGCCAATGCTCGCAAATTCAAAAGAACCGAATTACTTGAATTTTGTGACAAGGTTCAGTATTTCACTTCTATGAAACAAACTCAAGTTTTGTGTTACCAGAAACAAGTCTGCTAAAAACAAGTGCTGAATATCTGCAAGCAATGACTGCACCATGCGGCCAAACCACACAAACATGAAAAATTCATCTCTGCAGCTCCCTACAAGTTCTTCGACCTCTTACGATTAAGTGTGAGATGACATGCTCTGACACTGCATAAGCAATAATTTGTTCAATAACGCCTCCACTTGGCATCACAACAGTCATAACTTTAAGACCACACACAGTCAAAAGATTTTAGTGATCTCTGTTTGTCACCAAAGCCTCTCAATTTTAGATAAGCTGATAGAACCAGGGCTGTGGAGTCGGAATCGGAGTTGGCCAGATTTTTGGGTAAATGCAGTCAGAGCTGGAATTGCTGAAAACACACTGACTCCAACTCTAGTTTTTGTTGGACAGTTTCAATTTGAAATGAAATTAATGTTAATTGAAAAAAATCAGTGGCAAACTGAGTTATTATTTTTATTTATAGACTATATATATTAATAATATTTAGTTATTTTCCATTTAATTGACATTATCAAATAAATATAAGGGAGGATGATGGATGTGATATATTTGATGCAGTCTAGTGTTAGGAATGGAGACAAATAGATAAGCAAAGATTCATCTGGATTAACATATATTGAAATACAAAACCATTATAGGCACAGTAAATGTTACGTGGTAAGCATGGTAAAGTAAACAAGTGACAACAACTGAAAACAATGCCAAGAAAGAAAAAAAAAATTGAAAAGTACCACAATTTTGTTTATGGATGGAAAGTTACAGTACAAAGTGATCATAAATCGTTAATGGCAACTGTTAAGAAACCATTGCATAAAATTTCGTCTAGAATGCAAAGGATGATCTTAAAATTACTAAAGTATGATTTTGAGATAAATTATGTTCCAGGTAATTAAATGTTTTTTGCTGACACTTTGTCACGAGCATATCCTGTGAATGAAACTATTAGTGATGATCCTGAAATGCTAAATGTTGTTCACATTATTTCAAAATATTTGCCTATGAGTGAAAGAAGAGTGGTGCAATTTAGGAAAGAAACTGAATCAGATCCAGATTTGCAAATAGTTATGAAATATATTAAAGAGGGCTGGCCTAAATGTTACAAAAAAAGTAGATAGTAGTGTAAAAACATACTTTAAAGTTAAAAATGATCTTTATATTAATGACGACTTGTTATTTATTAATGAAAAATTAGTTGTACCTTATGGTTTGAGAACAGATATGTTGCAAAAATTCATGAAGCGCATTTTGGAATTGAGAAATGTAAAAGTAGAGCCCGTGAAATTTTTTACTGGCCAGGTATGGCAAATGACATTGAGCAGCTTGTTTCCAAATGTGAAATATGGGAAAAATTCAGAAATAGAAATCAAAAAGAACCTCTAATGCAACATGAAATTCCAACTAAACCATTCGAAAAAATTGCCCTTGATATCTTGCAATTTGCTAGACAAAATTACTTAGTAGTTATCGATTATTACTCTAAATGGATTGAGGTTTCTATCATTCAAGATAAGACAGCAAATGAAATTATGATAAAGTTAAAATGCATCTTTGCCAGGTATGGTATTGCAAATGAAGTCGTTTGCGACAATAATCCCTGTAATAACTACTTATTTAAGAAATTTGTTGCAGATTGGGATTTCATTTCAACTTAAATTTAGTAGCCCTAGATATCCTCAAAGTAATGGGTTGGCTGAAAAAGCTGTAGGAATAGTGAAAAATATCATGAGGAAAGTGCAAAATATAAGTGTAGGCTTAATGGAATATCAAAATACCCCAATTAGTGGAATAAATTTGT